AAGTTTTCAGCCATCCAACCTCTAATGGAGTCTATGCACTTATGCAAAATCTGTAGCATGGAAACATCTTGGGCTTAAAGGAGATATATAACTGAATATCATCTGCATAGCAGTGATAAGAAATGTCCTTAAAAGTGCTCAATAAGTGCTGAAGAGGAAGTAAATACAACAAAAACAATAAAGGCCCCAAAACGGAACCTTGTGGCACGCCATAGGCAAGAAAAGTAGAAGAGAAACTGTACTTAGAGGTAGCCACAGAAAAGGATCGTTCATGCAAATAAGATTCAAACCACTCCAAAGCAGACCCTGATATACCCAGCCGGTGTCTCAGCCTATCTAGCAGAACATGATGGTCCACAGTATCAAAGGCGGAGGTCCAACATCAACAAAACGGAGCATTCTCCTGCATCACATCTCATCAAAATGTCGTGGGAGACTAAGAGTTTGACTTCAAAGACGCCTAAGTTAACTTTACAACAACTTTCAGGTAGAGAAAGTTGTTTTGGTCTTTAAAGCCTTTATAGCCAATATTTTCTCTTTTTTTTCTTAATAACGTGGCTGTTTCAGTGTATTACAATTTGGGCTATTGGCTGCAACAAGTGTCCACATGCACATTACATTCCTTTGTGGCTACTAGTTGGTTACTAATGGATATTCCAGGCTTTGTTTGTGCAGGTAACCCTCTAATATATTTACCATCTTACCATATGTAAATCAATAATATATTTTGCTCCATAAAAGAGCCATGAAAGATTTCACAAAAGCTGCTCACAGGTGAAGAAATCTGATGAATTTTCTTTATGATAAATGCATTGATAAAAAGTCATGAAATATGTTAGAAATTTAAATATTTGTGAAGTTTCAGTTTTTCAAAGTCATCTAATGAAAAACTGGACCAATTGTACTTACACATGCGTCTATTCCCTAACCAACCACCAGTTTGATCATCAAAGTGGTGAAATTTCCTTTAGATTAATTCCAGACGCGTAATCTGCAGAACAGCTATCTGAGATTCTGTGTTAGTTTTGTCATGCTGTGCAGCACATTTAATATTCTCCCCTATGCCTTTTTTTCTGCCTTTGCTGTCTGAAAATATTTGTTGTGTCAGAAAATAAAATCTGCTTTAAAGTCTTACAGTTAGCTGGCCTGTTAGCTAAATTCCCGCCTTTCTGGGCATCGTGTCTTCACTGCAACAAACAAAGCCATCATTTGTACATCCTGCCACCCTTGAAGTTTTGATTGATTTGACATGACAAAATGATCAAAGCCGCTCAGTAGAAAGGAGGCCAGTCATCATACAGGACCTGTCATCGTGCCCCGGGAGGCGAGAGATGAAAAAGCCGAAGTACCTTGTCTCTAGTCACGAAAGCAGATACAACACTGAACTGAATTATGTGCTAATTTACAAGGTGCCTTTATAAAGGATGAAAAACTGTCTGTTTCTTTTCTTTTTTTCTATATACTTGGTGTTGGGAAGCTGTTACGCCTAATTAGGTCTCTAATGACATTACACATGGATCTGAAACAGTCTTTGTAGCTTTATGAAATAAGAAAATCTGAAATCAGCTGTGAGACTGGCTTGGCTTTAACAGAAGAAACGGAGCAAGATGCGTAATGTGAGCTGATGTTGTGAATCCAAACTTAAGTATTACTGCTTTGTCAATTCAACTTGTTTTTATTTTATATTTATATACTGATGACATTATTCACTAAAGATTGAAAAGATGAATTATCAGGAAAGAAAAACCCAAATGCAAACTGCATTCATTCTTCCTCTTTACTCAGAGGGGGAGGAAACGTCTTCTTTTGATGCACTCCTGTGGCTCCACCTTTTCTCCTCTCCTAAAGAAACCCAAAGGTCCAAGTCACCACTCCAACCAGATTTAAGGGCTAATATGACTTGGGAATAACTTCGATAACACCAACCTTAAGGTGAAATTCTTAGAAAAAGTGGTAATTTTAAGACTTTTCTTGGTATTTCATCACTAGGAGCTACTTTAGTGCAAAGAAGTCCTGGAGAATAAAAATAAGGATTACGAAACAAGAAGCCCTTCTGAAAAAGTGAGGCACGTAAAGGTCTGATTTAATGACTTTTTACAAGATCACATCCTGAAAATATTTACAATTACTAAAATCATGAGGAAAAACAAATTTATTTTTTTAAACCATCAGATACTGATAGAAAACCAAGAAGGAAAAAAATAGAATATGGACTTACTGCGAGCTACATAAACAAAACAAATAAACAGAATATATCCATGTAGTTTGTTTGGGCAAACAAGATGCTTCTTTAGTTTTTATAAGCTGACTGAGAGTTCCAGATATTTAACTGCTAGCGGAGTTGTGTTGGTTGCTTCATGTGGTGCTGGTAATATCATTGCACAACCACATCCATTACGTTATTTGCCTGAACGATAGGTGCATGACACGAATGTGCACTCGACAAACGCGCCGTTGGCACAACCCGCCAGGTTATAAAAATCAAGATGTGCACGACCCGTTGAAAACAGCAGCTAACGACAGTGGCTGTGTCGTCAATTTCATGTCAACTTTGTCATATGGTGCTGGCTGCAAGGCACTGAGATTTCCTGACCTACCATATCTTAAGATGTTGGTCATTATGTGAATCGTTTGAGAGACACTGTAGAATCTACACATGTCAAGATGCGAGTAGAGCTGGAATCACCCGAGAAGACTTCCAAGACTTCTCGGTACAACATTGAACACTCGGATCCTCAAAAGTTTCCCTTCTCTGTGTAGGTGGAGTAAGTGCAGCCAACGCAACAGGACAATAGAAGTCTTGAGAATCTGAGAGAGGAGTAAAAGACTCCATCAATCTCCACTGTGAACCGTCGCTCAACAGAGATTGTTATAAGATCTAATGAGAGCAACTTAAAATGAACAAGAACACCCAAATGTAAGGCATCAGCTACAAAGAATGCATTATTTATTGTACATTTAGGCCACTAAATCATACATGTAGTGACATAAGCTCACAGAAAAAGCCCCACCCTTTTTTGTCTCATTATAAGAGCATTAATATTCATGACTAAGAGGCATAAAACAGGTGAGGAGGAGAGAAATCCGATGCAAAACATGAGCGACAGTAATGGCAGCACAGACAACATCTGACACAGGTTCTTTAAGCCTGCTTTGAGTTGCAAACATAAAAGCCTGAGCAATGCGAAATCCATCCATCTGAAGCCTTTGAGGCGTCAGCCTCTGGGGTGTGCACGCATGCCTGGGAGTATAGATGGTACCAGCCTTGGAGGCAGGGATGGTGAAAGGAATGAGAATACAAGTTCAGCAATCCTCCCAGGAAGGAATAAATACAAATCCTCCAACCCTCGGAGGTACAGATGTAGTGAAGAAAAGCTTCCAGCCACACACACACAGAGGCACACATAAAATCCCTGTAGCAAAGCTCATCGCCTGCAGCAAAACTCAAGCTCTGTGCTCCCTAGGTGAAGAGCAGTTCAGTGGTTCTATCTTCCTGTGTGTCGACTGGACTTAGAGGGGGCTGAGATTCCCTGATGTGCACACACATACGCGCACACAAAACTCTATAAATATGTCTGGAGATCCTTTGTTCTCTTTATCTGTACCTGCTGAAATGCTTCTCGCACCATGATACTTAAAAAAAAATCAACATAAATGAAAAGAAAAAAAAAAAAGGTCTTGAAGGTTTAATTCTTTCCTGAGGCAAAAATTTTTAGAGCATGGCAGAAGTGTCTCTTAGTGAGCCATGACTAAATCCTTACACAAACCAAAGTCTTTATTGACTCCTGTTAAGGGAATTCTTCAGTTAGTTCTGCATGTCTAGATATACATTCTGGATTTTGTGCAGCACATCTCTACTATTAAAACTGAAACAGTGAAGGCACTCTGATGGACTGGTGACTGCTCCAGGGTGTATCCGCCTCGCACACTATGGGAGCTGGGACAGACTCTGGCCTCCCTGCAACCCTAAGTTTGATAAAAGTGACGAAAAAAAAGGGTGGATGTTTAAAATGATAAGCTTTTTACTGGGAAAACTCTTTTTACTCAGTCGGGGTTGGTTCAGTTGCTTTGAAGTGAGAGCCACACACAGTGTGTCATCAACAGCAGGTGGTGTCAAGCTGCCAAGCAGACGGGAGCATTGACCGGCACCATTGACCGGCACCGGAACTAAAGTCATGGACTGTTGACGACACAGTCGGTAATAAAATGGATTTTAGCCACCTAAGAGAAATCAATAGTGGTTTAAGTTTATGCCCTATTTACCCACAAAGCCAGAGCACATCATCAGATTGACAACCCCGCCCCCCTCCAGC